TATTTATATGAACAGGTAAACAACAAAAAGCATACATACGCCAAGATGGTACACGCCATTCATCTCTGTTCCAATACCGCAGAGTAATAGGAAACAAGCATCATACGATAATAGACGACATGAAAGACACAAACCTCGTGGCGTAATCCCGTGGTGTTACAGATGATATCTTCTTTCGATCCTTCACTGAGCCAACGAAGAATGTTTCCATTTTTTTCCTCAGATTGTACTCTTGCAGAATGTCAATGATCCCAATGTAATAGATTTCTCTACGAGTACCAGGCTGGTCTGTACTTGCCATACCACCTTGATCTGATGTGAAGCAGCGCCCATCAATTGCAATATCAGATGCCGTCCAACCAAAGAAGCTCGGATTTGGATTCTGCAGCGCATCTACCGCGGCACTAGCCAATGTAGCGTCTAGTATGAATGATTGAGGTGGTATTGTGCCTGAAAGAAGATCCTTTGCACCGGCGGGACTGTTTCCTAACCTGCGCGAGCAGAATGCCGGGAGTACGTGAATACCGACAAGAAATGAATAGTCCATGATATTTGACCGCTTCAAGAAATCACAGTCCTTTTTGATTTGGTCAATAAGCAGTGCGCGTCGCACAGCCCCTACGTGTATTGGCCGATTTAAATCCAAGTCTTTCTGCGTGCAAGTATGTTTCATCTTTTCTGCATCCGTGGCGAAACGACCCACCGTACTTCCTTTCAGATCGTACTTCTCATGTATGGTGTTCCCTGTTGCAAAAACATTTTGCATGATTATTATATTCATCTTTTCACCACCAATTTCAAGCCGATGATGCCCAACGAAATGAGGTAGTAGAGTAAACGGATTCTCCAATACGAAGAAATAGTACCGGTGTAAGATGCTCCGCAGAAACTCACTTTCCTCGTTTGTCATCGTTTTTATGACCCAATCCTTACCACAGAAGAAGAGCTTTGCTGCTGACTTTCCAGGTGTAGGCGTACTGTGCCATCTGCTCCGCATAAGCACGTTACAATACGCACTTGGATCTATATTAAAGGACTCGCGTATGTGGCGGTAACACATTGGGGAGTAGTCGATGAATCTGAAGGAGACAGGCGGGTCTTCTGCTTCGTTGTTGGCCGCGGTGTCACTGTCATTAATGTCCATCATATCCTCCCCTTCTCCGCGAACAGCAAGCATTGTAGTGGGATGCCCCCTCACAGCGGCTGCACCCTTGCAACAGTCAAGTCCTAATCCCTTTCCATTTGTGACCTCCACCTCAATTTTTGTTTCTATGGCGAAATCCTTCTTTGGGTTCAGCGGCCGTTGCTTAGCAGGATGGGAGATGCTGGTTATGCTTTGAGCCAAAGCCCACTTCATGCAGCGAATAATATTGCGTGTTGCCTCATTTTGCTGTGGGCCAGAGCCCTCGGTGATATCGTTAACCTCTCCTCCATTCCCGCTCTCATCTCGTGCATGCCGCCTACGAGTGCCTTTCGTGGAAACAGACTCTGGTTCGAAAGATATGGAAGCAATAATCTCACGATTGTACGGCATACACGGATAGTTCCCTATGCGACCTCCACTTACCGGCCCCACTCCAATATACACCTTATTGCAGAAATGAGTAGATATGAGAATTTGAGGAAAGAAGAGAAGAAAGGTCAATAAATAGAAAAACGAGGATTAAAAACCGTTGAAAACATTATTCCCTTCTCGTACAGGTATCCGTTCCTTGCCTCTCTCTTCCCCCATATGCTTTTTTCTGTTTTTTTTCTTATATATATATATATATATATATTTGTTTGTGAATAGACAATTTTGTGTATGCACTTCACCATCAAAAGACTCTTGCTGATAGGAATCACTTCCCAGCTTGTGCGTCGAGGAGTTAACAGCCGCCCACGAAGTCTTTCCAAAGCGCATGAAGGCACATGAAGTCCCACGCGATCTGAAGAGTCCTGTCCTTGGCACCACTAGAAGGAGCAAAGCGGGCCAACACCACATCATCACCTCTGTCATGCACAACAATCGCTTTGCGCACACCCCTCTCTCCCGCCGACGCTGCCAAGTATTGTTTTTGCCTACAGGCTTTGTCTAACAATGGTACATCACCAATCACCATGTGGCCACACACGAGTGAGGGTGCATCAGCAGTCCATACTGCGATCAGTGGCACGTTCGCCACTTCAACGTCTGATGAATCAAGAAGAAAGAGAGCGAACTCATTTTTACCTAGAGGTTGCCGTTGTATCAAAGCGAGCTGGGTGGTGATATAGTGCACAGCTTCCTCATTCACAATGACAACATCGATAGGGACAAAGAGTGCAAGCAAAGTACGATTTGCGTTGCTGAGGATGGAGCTGCCAGTGGGGAGGGTAATTGAGTATGCCAGCTGCACCGCAGACTCATGGTACCTCTGAGGATTGTTAGCGGTTACTTCACCGCTAACGCGGCACACCTCTGCTGTTTCCCTGGAGCCCAAATGCACAAACCGAACCGCTGCCAACCAACTCTGCTTCAGAAGGTGGCTTTGTTGCTGCTCCGTTAACCCTGTGACACCTTCACCAAGACGTATCTCCACTGTGGCGAAAGGGATGTGGAGCAAAATATTAAGGATAAACCGGACGAGGTACAACTCGGACTGCACCTGTGAACATATCAAAGACACAACATGAACACTGTTCGAAAAATACCGTCGTACCTGTCGTTCAAATGTTTTTTTCTGCCGCAAAGTGAACTGTTTCATTTCCTTGAACTCTGACATAACAGTATCGTAGTCACTAATGCATCGATCTATGGCGTTGTTCAGCGCATCGACATCCCCTGCTGGAACACGAAACGCTTCAGGAACCGGCACATCATCCTTGCAACCACCAACCAGCGAGTCGTCCACTATGACGCACACATCAAACAGCACGGCCTCAAATACGAATCGCTCCGCACCTGGGAGTTGCAGGTCAACACCGGCCATTGCCTCTCCGTAGAGCGAGTATAATTCCTCAGGGGCAAGGCCAGTGGCTCGTTTCAAATCTCTTACAACACCATGGCGACCCATCAAGTCGTTTTCTCGTAACTTCACATCAGCGTCAAACAGTACCAGTGGATTTTTCGTGCCGCGACGCTTGGCCGCGCGCCACGAAGACCGAGTCTGCGCCAGCTCCACAATATGAGGAGAGACATACGGGTAGAGAACTGCCAACTTGGACTGATTCATGTACGACATCGCCAGGTAGTTCGTGTGCCCTGCGATTGTGCAGTGTGATCTATCGCTGCGCGGCCACACCGTTAAGTGCCACTGCATCTGCCGCACTCCAGCTGCAAGATGGTCCTTCTGAAGGCATGGCCACGTTTCCGTCGCGATCAGCACATCGCCTTCGACGGCAGCGTTTTGCCACGCCGCGTAGTTCCTGAACCAACGTAACGGCGGCGCGCGGGCAAAGGCCACCTTGTACATCTCTCGAAAGAACGGGACGACCGCACCTCCCTTCTCCTTCTGACGAGTGTCAAGCGTGGTGCGGAATCCCCAGCGATTCAGCGCGAGGTGCAGCTGAATGAGGGCCTCCGGACCGCCCTTGCGGATCCCGACGTGCACCACGCGGAATGCATTTGGGATTGTGGTATGCAGCACCGCTGGACACGACTGCTCTTCGCTGTCAATGCACACATCCTCGCGGCTCCCTCGCGGCACACAGCGTTCTGTCGCTGAGCACCAAAAGCAGTGGGGCGATGAGCGGCGCACATCTGATGTGAACCTCGCACTGATGGGGGGGAACAGACAATCCAAACACGAACTCGCCCTGCCACAGATGTCGTTGTTATGATTCGCTCTCGAAGCAGAGGAGAGGGGGATATTGTCGACGGCATCCTCTTGGAGCAGGAGTGGTGCGATGAATACAAGAGCACCCGAGAGTAGCACGAAGAACAGACAGTAGACCAGCGTTCTTCGGGTACGTCGCCGCTCCTTCATCTGGGCGTCGCAACCTACGCAGCAGCACAAAAACAAAAAGAGACAGGGATAAAGCAGAAAAACAACAGTGACAAGAACAATACCAGAAGTGAGAACAAGAATAAGTCTTTGAAACACACAAAAACACTGCTGTAAGAAATACCGTGCAATTAACAATATCGATGCGCAGTTAAACACGCATAGGAATGCCACCAACTCGCCTTCTTTCAGTTTCCTTCTCATTCTTAGCCAGTAACAAGCTTCCTTGCCACTGTTGAGATCATCATTTTTGTTTTGTTTGATTTAAACGCACCACTAAACATCAATGTTTTTTTTGACCTTCTCCACTTTAGCCTTCTTGCGATTAGTGCTGCCGGTGCCGTATTGCTGTCGGAGCGCCACAGCCCGTTCTTCGTGCTTCATCGGTTGCACAGCCGATGCGTTGCTCGCTTCAGTTGGTACGCCACTCTTGCCTTCACCATTCTGCTCCAGTTCTTTATCATTCACCTTCATTTTATCACCCTCCTCCTCGACAGTGTTAATACTGTCGCATTGATGGTCATCAGGCGAAGCTGTCTCAGTCTTCTCTTGCTCCGCAACCTTCTCAGCATCGCGCGGCCGCTTCACTGCAGCCTTATCCTGCAGAAGTTTGACCACCTCGTGACCAGGAAGAGAGACGGTCGGCTGCCGCTTGCTGCGGAGGACCGCTGCGAGGTTGAGCATGGCGGTGAACCATGCAGAGGGGGCAGTGCACACAACCGCTGGGGTGTTCTCCAGCACTGGTGCAGGGCTTGCACCCTCCTCCAGGGATGGCAGTGTTCCTGTCATTGGCCGGTGAACGCCAACAGGGCGGGCAACAACTCCTGCCTCGCGTGAAGGTTCCATCTTCACATCCTTGTCTTCCTCCTCCAGATGCAGAGCAGCCGCACTGCCCACAGCATCCCTTACTATTTGAACAAGCTTCATGACATTGGTGCGAACCACAACACTCACCGGGCTGCAGCACTTCAGCACATCATTCGCAGATTTCGGTAGTTTGGTGGCGATAGCCAACACAGAAGAGAGTTGCATGACAGCGGCAGGCGAGTCGTCCACTTCCCTTGCAGCGGCATCACGCCAGTTGAACACATTTCGCGCTACCTGCAGTTGTGACGACGTCAATCCACCCAAACTTCGACCTAACGCTAGCTTGTAGGTATTTTCTGGGTCTAGTTGTGGCTTCTCGTAGAGCTCCAGCGCTAGTCGACGGCTCTCATTAAACACATGTACCAGCAGATTCCCAATGGATGCACGTCCTTCAGCGTTAAGAAGCAGAGCCTTTAACCGGTCATACACATAGAGGAGAAAATGTGTGTCTTGCCTCGCGTAGGCCACCATCTCTGCAGGTATAGGTCGGATGCGCCAATCTGCCGTTTGATACTTCTTGTTCAGTTTCACCTGACAGAAGTGGTCCACGGCAAATGCCAGACTATGCGGCATGTGCAACTTTTGCAACGCAATGCCTGTGTCAAAGAAGTTCACAATGTAAAGACCAAAATCTTTCTGCAGCCACCGGACATCCTCACGCGCACCGTGGAAGACCTTTAGAATACGTGGCTGCAAAAAGACAGGGGCCAGCAGGTGCATTGATGACCTTAGCTTGAGGCAATCAATGATGAAGTCTTCCGTACGTGAGCTGATCTGCATGAGACATGTAAAACCCTGATACGAGTAGAAGTCATGATGCTCGAGATCCACTGCGATTTCCTTCTCCTTGAGAAGTGTCGCCACAACTTTTTCAAGGCCCTCCACCGTGTCCACGAAGCAAAGTGGGCACGTAGCCAACGGAAGGTACGGTGTCTCTGCACAACGAAGCAACTGCTCTTCAGGAATGCGGGCTTCTTTAATCCGCGCAGCGAAAGGGTGAACACCGGGCTGCGCCACATGTCGTTTGCCCTCTTCGTCGTAGTACACAGGACAGAAGGGCGTGAAGCTGTTGTCCACCGGCTGCTCAAACGTGAGTTGTGGCCGAAGAATGTGCGCCCCCGCCGCCCCAGAGGAGGAGAGGCTCTGCAGCTCTGAGCCAAAAGTCACAGATAGCTGATCTTTTGCATTCAAACGCCTCCCTTTCAAATCATCCAACAAAGTATCAACGTTCTCCAAAAGCGAGTCCACCGCCTCCATGACGGCAGACCGCTGTGTATCGGTGAGACTACCAGTGCCGCTCTGCAGAGTGACGCGGCGCTTCGCGGGAAGCAGTTGAGAGCACTTATCCATGAACTCGACGACGGACTCGCTGTGCCGCTTTATTTGCTGTCTAAACCCAGGGAATACCATGTGGTAGTCGTAGTCCTTCACTGGGAGCTCACCCGCGAGCTTGCCGTACTCTTTCACCACACCGAATACGCCATTTACGATGTCCTTCGTCTTTGGGAGCTTCTCCGACATACCCGTTAAGTTACTACCCTTCTGATCTCTCTCTCTCTCTCTCTCTCTTCATATTATTTATAAGGTGTGCGTGTGTGTATAGGTTGTTTGTTATTATGCAATGGTTTGCAAGAGAAAGAGAGAGAAAGCAATTTTACCTTTCCACATGAGGAGAGTAAAAGGAGTACTCCTGAGAGCTCACCGCAGAGTCTATGGAATCTAGCCGGGTGCCATACACCCGTAGATAACACACACACACACACAAACACACAGCCACACAGGAAAAAAAAAAGCTCAAACAACAGCCATGTTAGTGAACGAACGAAAGAAAGAATCAAATGTCGACGAAAATATGTCCCTTCGGCAACATTGAACTAATGAAGAATCACAAATGTGTATGGGCGCAGTAACCGCCTACACATAGTCTTTCAGTTTGCTCGACCCACCTTCATCAGATAATGGTACTCGGTGCGCTGCCGGCGATGTGTCCGCATTACGGCCATCCTCCGAGGGCTTGTTGGCCCCAGTGCCGATATTTGCATATGTGTAGATGAACCCTCCGGTGAGGGCCACCATGATGCCACAATAACCCGTCAATGTGGGAAACTGCTTGAATACTATCATACCCATTATTGCCAGGGGTGCTTTGTTAACAGCGCCGATGACGCTAAAGGTGGTAGGGGATGTCTCCTTCATACACCAAAAGACAGCAAAAGTCATCAGAGACCCAGCAAGGATCATGAGAACAACACTGAAAAGGGTCCACCAAGAGGCGATCATTAGTGATGCCGCCATATCCGGCATTGACGGGAGGGATGCCGCTAAAATGAACGGCAGTGAGAGCAGATTGTTGTAGAAGACCGGCCCATAGCGTCCAATCTGCTTGCTCACATCCCCCAATAACTGCTTCATGTATAGTGTGTAACACACTGTCGCTGCGATATTCATGAAGGTCCAGAAAAGACCCCAAGTGGTCACCCAACGGTCTCCTTTCGCGCCCATATAGCTGCCAAACACCATGAGAACGAAGGAAAAGTACATGACAGGCGTCACTCGTCTACCGTACAGTTTCGAGTCACCCATGGCTGTTATGATTACCGCGAGGTTTTTAATAATTGTCTGCATGGAGACAGACATTGTATGCAGGCTTTTCATTGATGTCCACAACATGGCAACGAAGAGAAGTGTCAGGGGAAGCCACTTCTTCGTCACTTCCATGCTGAAATCCGGGTAGTGCAGCCACTTCATCCGCCTCGCGAAGGACACGAGAAGCACCGCACCACTGTTTTGGATGAAGAGAAGACCCATGGGGTAGTTCAGACCGAAGGTAAAAATGACGAGCTTGTTCAGAATGATCATGCTCATGCTGCAGATGCTGTAGGCGAGCACGGAGGCAATCGTTTCAGCAGTCTTTTTGCCATATAGTCTTAGATTCATGATGCAGACACAGACGCACCCACACACACACACACACAGAGAGAGAGAGACACTCCTCGTCCCTTGTTTCCTTCTAAAGGGATACAAAAAGCAAAAGCAAAGAGAACACAAAAAAAAAATCACCGCAACGAAAATCACCACAAAAAAAAAAAAGGAGAAATAAATGCGAGGGTGTACAAAGAGCGGCATGCAGCAGGCCTGGCATGAAAGAGACACTACACCATGGCGATCAAATACTTCCAAATACCACCCTTTTTTGGGGCTCGCTTAAAATGACCATTGAGAAACGTGAGAGTCCCTTGCATTTTTGAGTGCCTTGCTTCTCCCTCTCTGGCGAAGCTCCCCACCAGTTCACAGCGTTATCCACGCCGCAGTGAAACACACCGACCACATACATTCGATGCGTCCGAGCAGGACAGAGAAGCACACCCATTTAGGTGGGGGCGGGGATAAATAGTAAAAACAACAACAAAAAAAAGAAGTTGGTGGGTGTAACATGGGCTACGCTAGCCGAAAAAATTCCCTCCATAATGAAACACTTGCTCCCTGAAAACTGCACCCACCTTCTGCGAAAGTAGCAACTCACATCGTACTCTCTCTATTAAGTTCGCCCTTCTCACTTTATCGACTTGCAGAAAAAGATACGCTCCAACCGCTGATGCACGAGGACCTTTCATTGGACCTGAAGCCTAACAGGGAAAGAAAAAGACAATGCTTACCTCACTTTCCAGTGTTCCACAGCACTCGCCATCTACATTTGTGCCATCAGCAGTCTTGACACTTGTATTAGACGGTAGTGCATAAAGTGATCAATTACAAACATCGCAACCAGCACCATGGAGAAGACGACAATAGGTATGAAAATGCGTGTGAAGTTGGCAGACAAGGCCTGAGTACAAGTGTTGCCGTGATATACAGGACACCAATTCCACATGCAAAGGGGTACGGTGCTCTCTACCTCACACACCTCACCATACCCCGTACAATTATGAATTGAGTAGTAATGACACAGCTCATTGGATTTGCCCGCCAACTCATTGAGGTAGTCGCGTATCTGCGAAAAGGATACCGCTCTCCCTATCATAATCAAAACCATCATGTTGAGGCCTATCCCTACTGTTACCAATCCGAGACGAAGGACACTGAATATAGTGAAGACTAGTGGCAGCCGCATTCTGATTGAATGGAATACCGACGTGCTGCTCGCCAAAAGGCTCATAATACCAGCTAGCGTCACGGAAAAGGTATAGTCCTTTACATAGGTGTAGATGACCACAGGTGGCGCCGCTGCAAATGAGTATGCCGAGAAGCCAAGCATTAAGACTGTCACGAGCATTTCGAGGACTGCGAGACAAAACGTCTGCGCTGGGATACGCGTCAGAAAGAGAATACCTGTTGCACCAAACAGCCCTGAAGGTGGCTGATAAGTGGTGAGAGCATTTCGTCTATTGCGTGTGGTACGTTCGAACGCCTTCACGATTTCCCGCTCAGTCTTAAGAAGATAGGCCAACTCCTGCTTAGCAACTTTGATGAGGAGCTCATTGTCGATATCTTTACAGTTGCACCTCCACGCAACAAAGGGACGGAGATATATGTTACGCGGATTATTGCCCTGACTAGTGTGCACAAGGTAGCGACGAACAAACATGCAGAGACATTGCATGTCAAAGTGCCGTTTTGCAGGGTCCTGAAATAAGGAATAAAACGTCGCTGGCGGATCACGTGCAAATACCACATTATGAATGCGTCGGCGCATGAAGGTCATAAACGGCACCGGCCCCATCGTCCCCGCTGTCATCAGGCGGCGGTGACGCGCTGCGTATGTATCATCGGCGGGATTTTCGGAATTCTCACGCGTGGGCTGCGGCTCACGGAGATAGTCGTCGATACTGATAGTGTCATCCTCACTGGCATAGGTATCGATTACTTCGTCAGATTCTTCGGAATCGCCACCTGTGATGTCCTGCTGAACGCGTGCAGACTCCTGCTGAACTGCGTCAGTGTTGTTTTGCTGGTTTCCCTTGTTCCTGTGGCCTCCCTCATGAAGCGCTCCAAGTGTTTCTTGATGTTTTAAGAAGTCCTCATCAGTAAATCTTCGGACATTCAGCAACGTTACAGTATCTTTGGTGATCATGCCTACTAATCCTTCATAGTGGAAAAGCAACCTATCACTACCCACTGCTGTCTCACCCACAAACGTAACACAGCGACCTATTATTTTCAGCTCCTGTGGACGCAGCATAGGAAGATTTTCACACGGTCCGTTGACGTTGATAACCGCTTCCTCCACCAACTCTTCCACTGACAGTATATCTGTCGCCTCTCCCCCACATGGTGCCTGATTGCCCTCCGCTGCTTCATCAGAACGAGATGAGGCTCCAGTTTGTCCCCCAACACCTCTTTCAGTGGTAGAGTCGCTCTCGCCATCCGGCCGCTCCTCCCTCTCCACTTCTGTCTCCACTACCACTATATTACTGTTTTCGGTCTGGTGGTCCTGCAGTTCCTCCTGCTCTGTACTGCTGCGCTGCCCTGTTGCCTGTCCAGGAGAACTCTGTGACCACGCCGGGCCCTCTGTCGAACTGCGCGTCGTGCGCGTGTGCGGCGGCATTGAGAATACTCTACACTTTTATTTGTCGTGTTAGTTACGTGTTTTCGTATTCCTTCCTTACGCAGTCACTCTTAGGCAGCACGTATATAAATATATATATATATAT